TCAAAGAGTGGAAACGGTGCGGTGACAGTGGATGCTACAGAGTACAAGCAATTGGTTGGGAGCTTGTTGTATTTGACAGTCACGAGACCGGATCTCATGTATGCAGTTGGGTTGATTAGTAGATACATGGAGAAACCCACCGAGATGCATTTGCAAGCTGCCAAGAGGATACTACGGTATTTAAAGGGCACTGTGGAGCTTGGAATTGGTTACAAGAAAGGTGGTAAAGGGAGTTTAATAACATTTGCAGATAGTGACTATGCGAGGGATGTTGATGATCGAAGAAGTACTTCTGGGTATGTGTTTATGCTAGGAACAGGGGCTGTTTCATGGTCCTCAAAAAAGCAGCCAGTGGTGACCTTATCTACAACGGAGGCGGAGTTCATAGCAGCAGCCTCGTGCGCATGTCAAGGGGTCTGGTTAAGAAGGGTTCTTGAAAAGCTTGGTCATGTTCAAGGTATGTGCACTACTATTTATTGTGACAATAGTTATGCTATTAAACTTTCAAGGAATCCAGTTTTACATGGTCGAAGTAAACATATCGACGTGAGGTTTCACTTTTTACATGAGCTTACAAGAGATGGGATAGTAGAGTTGCTGCACTGCAGTACACAAGAGTAGGTGGCTGATATCATGACTAAACCTGTCAAACTGGAGGTCTTTCTGAAGCTACGAGATAAACTTGGCATGTGTGTAATGTCTGGAGTAAACTGAATGCACTGGTGCAGTTCAGTTTAAGGGAGGATGTTGAAGTATTAGAATTGTTAGGATTTATCCATGTTTGTTGCTTATTTGGTTATTCACTTTGTTAATAATGTCCTTCTGATGCATCTCCATCTCCTTCCCCTTCTCCATCTCCAGACAGGAGTAACGCACGGTACATATCTCGTTTTTTACTCTTTTTATCGGTCTTGTGCTCTGCAGCATCATCATTCTCCTCCCAATCACTTTCACTCTCATCAGAAGCCAAATACTCCTTCAGTTCCAATTCAGAAAGCTACAGGTAAACCAACGTCAAATTAGCTAGAAGCAAACAGTACAAGAAGTTAGGTTTTTTTAACATAAGTTTATAGTTGATTTCCATTGTTTATTCAGATCAATGCGACAGAATGCCCATTCAGTCCTCAATAATGAAAGAGAAGAATGCATGGAGCTAGATATGAACTCTATTAACAAATGACGTAAATTGCAAGCAATGTTCACTTAGATAAATTATCCTAACCTGATCATCAGTGAATTTCCGTTTCAAGGTCTTGCGTCCAAGCTCATCCTCATCCCAAGAAATATCAATTTTACTATGTTGCAGAGCTTGAGTCTGGAAATCCAAACCCACGTAGCTCGCAGGCACCTGACAAAGGCCAAAGACTTCACAATCACTCCTACATTTACGAGAAAATTCAATTCATTTCCTTTTTGTTTAAAAGAAATTCACATTCCAGGAAAAAAAAAACATGAAAATACACGATTTGCTCTCTATACACTTATAAATGACTGGTTGAAACATATACCTCTGTCGCAACATCACGGGGTGAGTGTTTAAATTAGGGGCTTAAGATTTAACGGTCCTCCTCCTCCTAGGGTTTAAAGTTTAAAAGAAAAATGGAAAAATAAAAGAAATTTTCAGCTGAATTGCGGTGGACTATGATGAGGCCCACTGGAAATTGTAGCCCAACTTGAGATTCTACTTTAAAAAGTCCAACTTCAAGGAGTTAAATTATGTCACGCGATAGTGTTGAGTTTTAAAAATTAGAGTAATAATATTCATACCATATTTTTATATCACATTTTTATACCATCTTAGGTGGCATCTGATGTGGAGAACTACATCATTTGAAAATTTTGTAAAACCCAAGGAAATGAAGGAGAAAGACTCCTCGTATACCACAATAATCATTTAATTAACTAGTTTTTCTTGACTATTAGTTTATTAAATAATGAACTAAATTTAAAAATCTGATTAATTCAAATAATGTGAATGTCCACATTAAATGCCACCTAAAATGGTATGAAAATGTGGTACAAAAACATGGTATGAATATCATTACTCTAAAAATTATCAAATTGAGGCAAGTTAGAGGGTGTTATGTACTCGTTGTGTCCATTAACCAGTGTTGTTATTATCTAGAAGGATGTCAAAACTTGTTAAGCAATAATACGTGTTTAGCGAATTGATCGGAAGCACAATGTAATTGTATATAAATTGATCATCTACGAAACCATAGTGAAAAGATATACTACATACGTACTTACTATCAGTACATTTCATTGTAGCAGAACGAATTAGGGGTTTTTGAAGCTTTGTAAGTGTTTTGTTTTCAGAGTCAAATGAGTCTGCTTTGTTTTACCGATGAATAGTGATTCAAGTTGAAATTTAGATGATGACAATATCATAAATAAGTTGAAGTTTGGTGAAACCAACAACTGTTTCTTCGAAAATTTATGAAAAAACAGTTTCCAGCTTTACAAAGAAACAGTTGTCATCCTCATATTTTTGCCTCCCTGTGAGAGACTTTCTCTTTACCTGAGAGCTCTTTTCACCTATTGCGTGGGTGTTTTTAATTCTACAGCCGCCAACCCTAGCTACGGCTGAGGTCGCGGTGGCGGTCCCTTTCTTTTTCTCTTTGCTTTCTCCCTTCTTTCCTTATGCTGTTTTTCCCTTGCTCTCCATTCTGATTTGCCTTGTTCTTTACACCCCATCGGCGTCCCTTCTCCTAGACCATATCCACTTCGATGTGCAGTCAGTCTTTACCGCAATTTGTTGTTGCACATCCAAATGATGTATAGAGTTCCGGTGTTCCTACCGACTTAGTGTTCATAACACCACCATTTTCTTCCTGTCTATCTTTGTTGGCAGCGTTGCTCGTGGACTCCCACATGCATGTTTCACTTTGTGGCTGCAAACGGAGAGTTGCTCGCAGCAGGATGATACGATCGGCGTGGCGCTGCTTGGCTGGTCGAGATGCACTTTTGCGGAGGCGGTGGTAATACACTTCTCGGGTTTCTTCTGGTTTGTTCATGGTTTGGACTCCTTTTTTTGTTAGCTTGGCAGGTCCATTTTTACATGTGCTTATTTGTCTTTGGGTCTTTGTTGTGTAAGTTTGTGGAGTTGCTAATAAAATTTCATCTTCTTTCCAACAAAAAAAAAAAAAAAAAAAAAACAAAAATGTTGTCGGTTTAGTCAATTGTATGATATTTTTTTTTTATCTGGTCGATGGTCAATTGTATGATTACGTTTGCTATTTTAGAATGTATTCTGCTACACAAAAAACAGAATGTGCCGGTTTACTTACTATTATTTAATTTTCACATGCGCGCATTGCGTCGGACTGGCACTAAACTAAACCCACCAAACAGATAAACCCTAACCAATTTGGATGGTATTATATTCCCATCTCTCGTTTCCGTGAAGTTGTTGGGATTTCTACCGACCACTAAGTCCCAGAATTACAATCCAAACCCAATCCAATGCAACAAAATTTCTGGGAAATTATTTATCCATTATTTTTTCAATTAGAAAACTAGATTTTAATCCCTAAATAAAATGAAGTTTAGAAAAATATCTTATACAAGATTAAAAATTAATTTTAGTCCCTAAACTCTATTTAATGTCAGCATATGTATTCAATGTTTCTTTTTTTATTTATAATTTTATATATTTAAATTTTTTGAAAATATTATAAATTTTAATTCTCATTATGGTAGGCATCTTATATAAGAAAATATTTTTCGGTACACTTATGTTTTTGCATATTTTATTATCTATCACTAATTCATAAAAATGTATTTAGGTACGAACATTTCGGTACAATGGGTTAGTATAATATGTTTAGGTACGGACATTTCGGTACATTAGTTTAGTATAATATATTTAGGTACTGATATTTCGGTACACTAGTTTAGTATCATATAATTAGGTACGGAATTTTGGTACACTTATTTTTTACATATTTTCTTATCTGTCACTAATTCACTATAATATATTTAGGTACGGGCATTTCGGTACACTAATTTAGTAAAATATATTATGATATGGATGTTTAGGTACACTAATTGGAGAAAGTTAAATAAAATTGTATAATAATACGTTTAAAATTTAATGTAATAACATTAAATAAGTTATCTATTAAATATAAAAACTTTGACAAAAAAAAATTCTATTAAATATAAAAACAAAAATATAATATGAATTTGAATTAAGTACACATTAAGGGTCTAAAATCAATAACCAATCTAACACCAAGATTTTTTAAAATTTTAATCTTCTTGAAGGATTAAAATTCAAAAACATTTCCCAGATTGCTAAAATTAGGTTAGCTAAGTGATCCAACGCTCACCTAAATCATCCAGAATTATTTCAGAATAACTAAACAGAATTGAGAGACAAGGTTGTTGGGATGAACGGAAGTTAGTTAATCATGTCTTAAACATAACTAATGAAGCTGGAGACTTTGAACGCAAGCTAATTGACTCTCCCAGACATGACGACCTTTGATGTCTCAACCCTAACCACTTCACGCATTCCTTTTTTTTTCCGTTAAATCGGCAAAATTATTTAAAACAACACCGAAGCACGGACCAGATATTCTGGATCGACCCGAAAACCCGTGATACGTGTTTGAATGCAGATACGAGCCGTTGCAAAAGAAAAATAATGAGTTGATGAATTGAGAAGTTTGGTGTAGCATGCTGATGCATGCACGAGGCTTTAAAGAAAGGAAATAAATAGGATTAGGAGTACCTACCAAACCATGCAGAAGAGTTTTGTTACATTTTTTAATTAGAGAATATTTGTTTTAATTGTTGGATTGGAACAATTTTTTGCATTGCGTTGCGGAATCTCCTCTTTCCTTATGTTCTTGGGAATCTTCTGGTTTTTTTTTCTTCATGTATTTAAATTATTTAACATCATAATTAACTCCTTGCATTAAAAGTCAATAATCGTGTGCCATGTTTGACCATTAACACCTTGAAATCAATAAAATTATCGAGTTCACTTTACAAGATGATGGTAATTGATTCGTAAAAATAGATAAACCATGTTTTGCGATATGTTTTGATCTGTAGAGAACCAGAGATTCAAACTTGAGATGTCGTTGAACATTTTAGTCGAGGTTTAAAGGTGCAAAAGAAATATGTGATGGCAATTGTCTTGTAGTGAGGTGCCTTTGCCTCCATAATTACTTCTTAATTAGACATACTTACTTAACTAATTCATTATTTAGGGTCACCATCATATTAGTAACATCCCCTCTCTCTCTCTCCCTCTATAAATACCATCCCTAATCCATTTTTATGTCCCACACTTAAAGTTACGCAGAGTTAAGCAAGAAAGTTGTTCTAATCTCTCAGGATGGCTTTCAATCCTGCATTATTGAGCTCAATCTTCATCGTCCTTTCGGTATTTTCTGCAGTGACAAACGCGCTGAGCTTGAATTACTACGACAAGAGCTGTCCCAATGTCGAGCAAATTGTTTCTAATGCTGTCAAGAAGGGGAAAGCCAACGACAGAACTGTCCCTGCCGCTCTACTCCGGATGCACTTCCACGACTGTTTCATAAGGGTAAATACATATTTTTTGGTACAAGCTGTTTCGAAAGCGTAAACACATTGATTAGTTGATTGAGTTAACTCAAAAAGTGTTTGTTTTTGTTTGCAGGGCTGTGATGCATCTGTGCTGTTGAACTCCACCAGTGGCAACAAAGCAGAGAAAGATGGGCCACCAAATATTTCTCTGCATGCGTTTTATGTCATTGACAATGCAAAGAAACAAGTGGAGGCTTCCTGCCCTGGTGTCGTTTCATGTGCTGATATCTTGGCTTTCGCAGCAAGGGACGCTGTTGTGCAAGTAAGATTGTCGAAACTATGGGAGATCTGTTGCATAATATGCGAAACAGAACCCCTTACAAGCTTTTAATCAAAAACAGAACTATTAGACACACTATATAGACAATAAGAGTTATTTGGAAGTGTTTTTACAATGATTGAAAACGTTTTTTATGACAATATTTTTGGAATAATCCTTGGTAAAATAATAAGTGAATCCTGGAAAAGCACTTTAAGTACTTATGTGCTTCTTGCAAAAAATACTTAATTATTGGAACCTAAAAATATTTTTTTTAAAAGCGATTTCAGTTATTTTAAAAACACTTCCAAATAAATCTTATATCATATATAATTCACGGTTCTCTTTGTACATATTTCCCGAAAGTAAAACAACATAGCTGTATACTTTTTTTGCACTTTCTGATGGTGTTATCAATGCTACAGTCCGGAGGTCCGAATTGGGCCGTGCCGAAAGGAAGAAAAGATGGACGAACATCAAAGGCTAGTGAAAGCGTGCAACTGCCGGGTCCAACCTTCAACATATCTCAACTGCAGCTGAGCTTCTTTCAGAGAGGTCTGTCCTTGAATGACCTGGTGGCTCTTTCAGGTAAACTAATCTCAAAATTTCAACTGTTATTTTATACATGCAAGTTATCGAAGAAGAAACGAAAGAGAGTAACTTCGGATGCATCTGCAGGAGGGCACACTCTAGGGTTCGCCCACTGCTCATCGTTCCAAAACAGAATTTACAACTTCAATGCCACACGCGACGTTGATCCAACACTGCGCCCGTCCTTTGCTGCAAGTTTGAGGAATACGTGTCCCATCAAGAACAGACCAAGGAACGCCGGTGCTACAATGGATTCTTCTTCTACAATTTTTGATAATACATACTTCCAGTTGATCCTCCAAGGGAAGAGCTTGTTTTCTTCGGACCAAGCTCTGGTCAGTATTCCACAGACTAAAGGTTTGGTTACCAAGTTTGCTTCCTCAAACCAAGCGTTCTCAGACGCTTTCGTGAAGTCTATGATAAAGATGAGCAACCTTAATGGTGGACAAGAGATCAGGAAAGACTGCAGGGTAGTAAATTAAACGAGGGCCGCCAAGCTTAGTTGTAGCCGATTGTATAAACATGAGAACCGGGAAATCCATCAAGTAGGTGGTTCTCTATCATTAACTTTCGTGTTTTGAAAGATTTGTGAAGGAAATTATTTGTGTGCTGTGTTTCATAATGTTTGAAAGGATCTTGTTACAACAAAATTCTGTTATAATTTGTAACAAAAATCGTACTATTTATACGAAGTACTCAGTTGAAGGGCAATGACATTTTCTGGTATGAAACTTAAGAGTAGTTTCCCAACAATGCATGAAATCGGTGTATATCAACCCTTTTCATTAATGAGATGAACAATGCTCATTACAGTATGGTCATACAGGTCAACTGGACTAAACTTACAATGCAAGCAAGAGTGGCAGAATTACCACATACTCCCAAAATGCTAATGCAAAACCGTTGTCTCAGCCTGTTCGCTATCCAGAACGATCTCTGCCAGTTGAAGGTTGCCACTTAGCCCGGATGCCTTGTAGGATGGCATAAATGAAAAGGCATCAAGAAGCTTCAAGCACTTCAATCCCCATTTGACCATCAAGAATTCAATAAGATGATGCCCGCTGCATATTACAAGAAGTGCTTTCAAAGTCTAATAAAAGTGAAAGAGGATCATTTACAGCACTACTGCATACTACAGTTATAAAGTTAGAACAGCATTAGAAGCACACGCAGGTGAAAATACCTTCGATTATGGTATGTTGTTATGAAGACTGACCCTGGAGAATTTCGGAGCAGAAATGTCACGGTGGCAAAGAGGTCATCAAAGGCTTACCAAGGAGAATAAAATCCTAATTTAGCTTAAGTTCAGCGATAGAGGGGACATGTCAAAAAAACAGATTGTCAAACATAAAAATCAAAGTCGATAAAAATCCTACCACTAGCATCATACAATACATCAGCCCCGAGAATAAATTTGGGGTGTAAGCTGAACGTTGATGCATCCCAAGCTCCCCATGTCAATCCCATTACCTGAAAAATCGAAGTGAGATAAAATTAACATCATCTAATTAGGTGATGTGCAAATAAGAATCGGCGATTAGCCTGTTGATGGTGATTACATTGCACTCAAGTTTATTAAGGTCGAGCACTCTTCTCATGTTGTCCAGCACCTGCAGATTCAAAACAACAATGTCATTATCCACTAACTATAGCCTTTAAAGTCCGAGACATCTATTGGAGAACCAAAAACAATGTCCGGTCTAGTTAACTAAAGTAGTAAAGAAGACGAAGATTCTTTATCAATTTGAGGGTTCAATTGAGATCAATACAGCCATCCATACCGATAATCATACTTTGGAAATAAAACAATCAAAATTGACGAAAAACAGAAATGATTTCGGATGAAGTTTAAAGCACAAATGAAAACACTAATAGGCAACATAACATTTTTGTTTTTTTGTTTTTTTTTGTTAAATAATATGCAACATAACATTTTCCAAGTGCCAATTTGCTCTCTTAATTATCACCGAGTGAAAATTAGGCTATCTTCGCACAAATAGGACCTTAAACTCATTAAAATTTGCAAATTCCCCCTACCATTCGATTCAAAGCTATTTGATCCAATCCTCCCTCAATTTAAATCGGACGACACACTTTCGAGCCTAATAATTTCCAACCATCGTAAAAAGTACGATGAGCTTTTAAGCAAATAAAAAAATTAGACACTAATTATGTATTAGCAAGTAATCAAAATTAAGAAAACAGCCAATGTGAATGGAATTTCAATACCTCCAATCTACTCGAATCATCGGTGAGAGTGACGTCAGCACCAACTCTGGCGGCAACCAGACCGGGCAAGGAAGTTCCAGCGCCAAGCTGCAAACTAACCCAGAAATGATTAGTTAATTAATTACTAACACAGGAATTAGATTAAACCTGGATAAGGATTAACACGGACAGTACTACCTCGACTACGCTAGCTCCCGAAAAGCGCAATCTCTGTTGCCAAACATACTCCGCCAGGACTAAGCTGCAGGGCCACACGAAGAGCCCGTACTCTTCCTTCATATTCTCGATGATGGAGACGGAGAAGGCCGGTTCTTCCGAGTCGTCCCCGAAACGATGACGCGATACCGTCGACATATCGGGCGAGTCAATTCCTTCCATAACTAGGTAGTTGCTGCCGCAGCGTAAGCCTGGTAAGGGAACGAAATGGGTTGGAGAAGCCTCTGTCAAATGTGGGCCTACTAAATCCCCACAGGCCCAACTTAAAAGGCTCAATGAAATTTATCCGAAAAACCCAAAAGCAAAACCAATTTTTAAAGGCCATTTTTGATAGCCCTTTCTCGAAGCATGCAGCCCCAATCTTCTTCCTCCCTCCTCTGCTGCACTGAGTGAACTCGCTGAAGTCGACAACTCGGAGCTCGACCAGCCCTCCTATGGCTTTTGCTCACCACCCAATATCCATTCTTCTCAAAACTTCAAAGCCCAAAGACTTCGATTCTGAAACCTCCTCTTCCTCCTGCTCCTTCTTTTTCCTCCATTTCTCTTCCTCTCAAACCTCGCAATCTCTCCTTGTTGTCAAGGTCCCTAATTCCAGGGCATAAAGGTAATTACAGTTCTCCGCCGTCGGCGCAGGTTCAGCTGCGGACGCCTTCACTAACTTCAAAGCATCTTCTGCTGCCCATCACCGACGGGAACCCACATCTCTCCGAGGGCACGAGACAGGTAATTTGTCCTTCATTTTCTACGTGGGTAATTGTCGTGGCTGCCATTGTGTGATGATCCAGGTAAAAATTTTGATTTTTTCTTTTTTGTACAGGCTATAGCTACTGTTGCTGCTTTGGCGAAGAAGTATGGGTCTGGCATTACGGTTGTGGGTATGTTTACTGGTGAGAATTGCTCTCTCTGTTTTTACATTGTGTATTACGGTGTCGAAACCAAGCTTTATATATAGTGCTTTTCGTTACTGTACAGACCTTTTTGGAATTGATTCAGTAAATGTAGTGTAGGAATATAGAACTTTGTGTTGTTTTGCAGTGATCGATGAACAGCAGAAGGAGTCTTTGCCGCAACACGAAACCCAGCTTTCGACTATCCGCTGGCATCTCTCTGAAGGTTTGTGTATTGTCTCATGTGGAATTTGATATTATAACTTTGAATATTTATCGAGGAAAGGGAATGTGAAATGTTAGAGCTGATTGATTAATAGAGAACAAAAACGTAGGTATTTTATGATTGTGTCGGTTCAGTTATGTCGATTGAGTTTTCATCGGTGTATTGCAATAAGATGCAATTTTTCACAATAAGTTGATGTGTTGATGTTGCTGACTGAATCAAAACATGCATGGAGCAGAATGACAACGAAAAGGAGTCGTATTTCATTAGGGAAAAAAAAGAAGAGGAAAGCGATGCTTTTCTAGTTGGTAATTCTGATGGTTGACGGGGGTTCAAGTAATAGGAAAGGGATGAAGCATCAAATCTTGTTAAATTTGGTTATTTTTGTCAAAAAACGCTTGAAAGTACAAGAGAAGAATCTGGGAAAGTTGGCCTCGTAGTCGTAGATGGCTCCAATATTTATGATTGTGTTGTAAGAATATTGTATCCGATTGCTGACAGTTTACTACTTAAGAGAATAATGTGACAACCGTAATTCACGGAATGTTATTCCCGTTTTTTTCACTTGAGTTGGATTTTATTTGTTTAAAATATTATTTTTGGTGTTAAATGGTGTGCCCAAGGGGCCATCTCTGTTTTGGTCCTCCGGTTCCCCACTCTTCCTTGGCTGCCACGTGGCAGTCTATCATCTCTTTTTCCCCTCCCCCAAGTCAACACACACTCTCTCTCTCAGCTGTCTCTCACAAACCCCTCTCCCTTTCCTTTTCCCGGCGACACCCAATGCACCCAACACCCAAATCGAGGCACCCCGGCGACGGCACCACTACCATCACTCTCGCGAGAACTTCCCTTCCTTCCTCCTCGTCTCTATGAAGCTCGGTGAAGCCCAAAAACCCAGGAAGTGCTCCGGCGAACCCTCGTGACTTTCGAGCTAAACACGGCCACCGCCGGCCACTCCACAGTGTATCGAAGGTAAGAAAACTCTTCCCCTCGTCTCACTCTTCATTTTGATACTTAGATCGTGCCCTAGGGAGTTGGTTTGCAGTTAACCGGAGCTAGGAAGGCTCTGGCCTTCTTCCCCGGCAAGAAACGGGCTAGGCCTGAAAACCCAACCCCAACCAGGCCTTTAGGGCCTTGGCACCGGCCCAATTTACTAACCCCAAACCCTAGGCCCGGATCCATTAGAACCCCAAAACCAAACTAGGCCTTCAGGCCGTGTGAAACGGGCCTTCGGCCCATTGAACCTTGCGGCCCGGTTCCTTAGAACCAAGGCCTTTAGGCCTTAGAACCCGGCCTGTTAAGCCCAAGACCCAAACCGGATTGGACCTGACCCGGCCGTTGACCCGGTGAGACCGTCGACAAAAGTCAACCTGACTTTTTCGAGTTTCTGACAAGTCTCTTCCTACGCTAATTTCGACGTTCTCGATCCGTTTTTTATATCCGTTTTCTCAAATTCAATCATTTAATTAGAGTTTTATTAATTGGACCCTTTATGTGCTTAGGAACAATTATTTGTGGTATTTCCGTCTTTGTTAGTTTTTGTGGCTTTTCAGGGACGAAGTATCTGTGAGTAGACCTCTTCTAAAATGCATGTTTTAAGAGTAGAAATGCACACATAAAAAACATAATTTAATGGTTACGTTTTATGAAACTTTTTATGAGTAAATTAGATTTACATTTTATGATTATCATGCTTTACTGAAAATATTTTGGAATATTATACTTTATCGAACTTATGTTCTTTGTAGTATATATGATAGATGACTATATACTATTCATGAACATGTTTTTACGCTTCCTTGTAGTATATATGATAGATGACTATATGCTATGAAGATGCTTTTGAGATGTATGTATTTATGTTGGAAAGATTATGTTCAACGTTATGTGCTTAGCTAATGGTCATTGTTCTTCCTACGAGCGATGATACTTATATTGCCTTCGGGCGGGCGTGTGTAAGGCATTGTTCTGTACGTATGGGAGATGATACTTATATTGCCTTCAGGCAGGTGCATGTAGGGCTCTAATCTGTGCGTATGGGCGATGCTGATACCATTAGTTAGCACATTATATACGAGATATATTTTATAAAAGATTTTATAGCATCCTAGGGTTTTCGGAAAAAACCTATTACATATTATGCCTTTGAGTTTTCATAAACTTTGGGGGTTAGTACGTTGAATAACTGTTTCAATATTATTTATATATAACTTGGTCTGCTCATGTTTGTTTTGCATCCTCTCAGGACTTAGAATCAAGGCGTATCATTCCGGCGTTAAGGCACTTCAGCATTGACATCTCCGAGTCCTCTCAGTGTAGGACCCATTCCTTTGTTCATTCAATTTTGTATTTTTATTTTTATTTTAATGTTCTAGTTAATTGTATGTTCTGAACACGTTCCTCATTTGCACATTAATTACATTTAATTTCATAACTCCTATTTATATTCTTTGGTTCTCATGCATCCTAACATGGTTTCGTCACCTTCGGGTGTCGGCCAGCATGTGCCTACCCCGGTGTTTGGTGAATATCAAGGTTGGGCATGTTAAATAGGGTGTGTGAAATTATAGTTACATCATTATACTTCTTAGACAATTTGGTTGTTTATGTACTCACTAATTTCTGTATGCACATAACAACAAATTTGGCACTAACGTTATTTTTAACCTTTATATTTACTGATAGGTGGGTTCCAAGAATGCAAGCTGTTAGAGCGACTTGTGGAAGGGAACAAGCCGACAGCCATCATCAGCGAGGTTGCTGACGACCTGAATTTGGATTTAGTTGTCATAAGCATGGAAGCTATTCACTCCAAGCATATCGATGCAAACGTGCTTGCTGAGTTCATTCCTTGCCCCGTCATACTTTTGCCATTATAATTTTCCCATTTCAACTGTAAAGCAATCACCTCAAACTCAAGCTCCCTTCTCTTTTACAATCCCAGTTTCTTGTAGTTGGATTCTTTGGCCGTTTACTTTTGTCTTCAGAGAGAAATCAATAGAGAATTGAAATTTTTGCATATAGGTATCAGGGATCATTGTTATTTGTTGCGTTTATCGTGAATGCTTATCCATTGGCCATGAATCAAAGTTTGTTTGAATTAGATTTAAGAGCTTGACATTACAGGATCTGTCATTGTTGTGACTTGTGAACAAGTGATTTTGGAGTCCTAAAAACGTAACAAAATAAGCCAAGCAGAGTGCTTTTGACTTGGCTTCACCCAAATTTGTCTTTGTTATTTGAGGATTTGACTGGAATATGTCTAGTCTACTTGAAATGCCCCTAAGAAAAACGATAGGAACTCCCATGGGAACACGTTGTATACACCTCTCAATGTCTCTCCCATCACATAATCAGTGATATGCGACGACAGAGAGGTGTACACAACATGTGATGGGTAAGTTTTCTGGACAAAAACAAACTACAGGTACTAGTGAAGTAATAAGTGGGTAAATAAACAAAGGGAGAAGCCCGCAGGACAACATATAGCATGCTACTCTCCTTGGGTGGCGGGTTGCTGCCGAAAGATCCCAAGCTTTTAGTAGCCGATTCCCTTATAACATGTTGGTGATAGGCAGCTGCTAGCAGAGCTCCAATAAATGGTCCAACCCAAAATATCCACTGCTTTGGTCAGAATCGAACCTAAAATCTCTCACTTACCGGTAAAGAGGAATATCACTAGACTATAGTACTAAGTGGCGTTAAAGATATATTAAAGTGTTTAAACATTAATTTAGAGTAGTTTTTCTATATGACTATCATGTGTGTTACCACTTTATTCATGTGATTTTTCAACATGACATGCTATAACATGTGAATTAGTAACGTCACATAGTGGCGTGGTCGTCTCAATTAAAAATAAATAAATAAATAAAATTAACTCTTAATGTTTGCTCACTCATTATGGACGTGAATTATTTTTTATTATTATATATATTATGAAGGATTTGGGACAAGTTACGCAAAAGCCCTAAGATGTGAATTTACATTTTTCATTTTATTTTAGACAACTAATATTGAGAAAAGGGAGAATCGAATTTGGGACATCGAGTGCAAGGGCGAATGCTCTTTACCAATTAAACTATAAACTCATCACCATTGATTTATATCGTTTTATGTCTCATTATACTGCCAACTTTGTAGCATAACATGTCGAATAAAGAGGTAATGTTTTTGTGAGCGGTTTATAATTCAAATGGTTAAGAGTATTTGTAATTGTGTTTGAGGTTCAATTCCTCTACCACTAATTTCACTTGAACATTAAAAAAATAATAATATATTTTTTAGTTCATGAGCTAAAACTTTAACATTTCTAATGAAATTCCAGACTAGATTAATGGTTATATAGTATTTCAAATGTTATGTTATGAAAGTTCTATCTTACCTACTAAGTACTAACTAACAATCACGAGAACATTTCCAAAGTTAATATGTATAATTATGGACTGTGATTTTTTTATTTTACCAGAGATGGGCGGCATGCTTCTAGTGACCGATGACCGTGGCAAATGCGACAGAGAGGAAGAGCAGCGTGGCAACTATCATAGCTCTGTAGAACGGCCAGCTTTTGAGCTCTTCCATGTCCAAGAGAGGAACAAGTAGAGGTTCCACCTAGTCCCTGGACATTTTTTTCTTCTCCTCTCTTGCTCTCTAGTTTCTAACTTTCTATTTCCTTGGAAAAACTATGGAGATTTTATAAGGATTAAGGGCAAGGGTTGAAGTGGATTTAAATACATGGCATAACGTGTATAGTACATTGTTGACCAAAAAAAGTATGGTATTATATACCACGAAACCTGAAAACCATGTGACATTTTCATTGAGAGTTTGCTGAAAGTTATTTTGCGTAAACTATTATTCATTCACGTATAATAAGAAAAATATAAAACACAGTATTAATGAGTAAATACGCATTGTATTATTAATGAATTGACAACATAACACGTGGAGATATTTCAACAACCCTTTTGCATGTAGTCTACTACCCATGCATGTCAAGTTCGAAACTTCACCAATTTATAAGTCACTTGGGTCATAAGGAATTGAAACCCACATTTCTTTCTTGGTCAAACTAAGTTACTTCCATTCCATTAAATAAACAAATTAGTACAAGGAAAAGATAGCTCAAAAGGCATCCCATAACATAAGTACAAGCCGAGCAAGAAAAAGTAAATACAACATAAACCCTACAATTAAAGAGGAAACCAGCAGCCACCACCAAATATGACGCGCCTCCATCGCAAGGCCACCACCACCAAGAAAACAAACCAAATAAAGCAACTGGATCAATGGAAAATGGGGATGAGCGAGTCACCTGTGCAGTGAGCGCTCCCATAATCCTACCAAATAGTGCAAAATGCACTTTAACAGCCACCCAAAACCTAAGCGCATTGCCAAGGAGAAGCACCCGGGGCTGAGTAGCAATGGTCGGTAGTTGAGGACATGTGACAGAAAGAAGCATCGAAGCAAGAGAGGTGTCTAAAGGTTCCGATCTGAGACAAGCTCAAATCAGAAATAAAGCACCATGGGAAAAAATAAAAATAGAAGAGGAGGAGAAAAAGGAAATGGAAAGGAAGGCTTGAAATGGGGAAAGGGGAGGACTTAAGGGTGTGGGTAGCGAGCTGGGATGCAGCAAGAGAGAAAGAGGCGAAGAGGGAAGGATGAGGACTTAAGGGCATGGGTAACAGGCTAGAAAGGAGAAAGAAAAGGATAGCAGCAAGGGGATGCCGGCCGACCCCAACCAGAGGAAGGAGTCAACAGCGATGGCTGAGATTTTGGGGGGGGGGAGGGGGCGCTTCTTGCGAAAGAGAAAAAGGCTGGAGCGGCTTGAAGCCCACATTTAAAATATGTAATTTTGGTTGGCTCATTGTGTCACATTGAATATGTCAAGTTTGCCCAAGAGTAATTTGAGCCCAATCAACAAGGCGTTCAATTTTCATTTGAATCTAATAAGGTTGACTCCAATTTTGAGGGGTAACATTTTTAGTCGCGACACATTAAACAACTTCAAAATGGTATGAATACAAAATTGATTCGAAATTTACATACTTTTATGATTAATAATATAAATTATTGAATTACGTATAATTCTACACGTTGATCAACTTGTAGATCGACAAGAACATGACACCCCTACGGGAATCATCTTCTTAAATTAGGAAGATATTAAAGTAAAGATGTGTTACCAAATTTTGAGATGTAAATGAGATACACCCCAAAAAGCAACATCTATATTCCATGCTGTATTCGCTCCACATGGCAGAATCCTATTGGAGCACAAAGTTGCTTCCACGTGGAACTGTAACTATAAGCAAGGTAGGTTAATGGTAAAAGTAAACGCAGTAAAAAGCTAAAGGAGTCACAGTCGTAATTACATTCTGAATCCCATGTCGCTCAGGTGTTTGATGACCTAAACAAACACAGCCCCTCCCCGCGGGTACGCGGCAGGGGTATTTAAGTAATCTTCTGGTGATCTAAAACCTGCGCATCCAAGGTACCGCGGCAGCACAACTAAGGCACAATAGCCGAGAAGAAACAATACAAATACACCACCCATAAAATCTCCAGAGACTCCTCTCTCGCTCCTCCCCTTTCTCTCTCCTCCCTCCCTCCGCCCCCTCTCTCTCCTCCGCGATCCCGATCGGCCCAAATCTTTGGAAACCCTAATTTTTGAACTTGCACATTGTTCGAAACCCTTATCGCTCAGAAATTTTGATCACTCTATTTTATTATTCCGATATTGCCCTTGTTGTCTCGTCGTTGATCAAAAACTCGCCGACTGTATCTATCGCCGCTCACGCAAACCCTAGCCTTTTTGTTTGGTTCTTGGTTATGGCTGCGATTAACGCCGCGAACAAGAGCAGCAACCCCGAAACGGCGCCGTCTCCGCCCTTGCAGTCGCCGCGTAACGCTGGCGAGAGTGTCAGCAGCCCGACCCAATCGCGGCGCGCCACCAGGGCAGTCTCGTCGCCTTGGACTCAAATCGTCCGCGGCGAATCTGAGCTGATCGCGGCCGTTCCTTCGTCGCCATCGGCGGCTGTGACTGAGCCAGCTGTCGCTGCGGCGGCACCTCCTCCCCTTCCTTCTTCTTTTTCGGCTAATCAGACTCAGTCTAACTCGGCTCCTCAGTTGAATTCGTCTTCTCCTCCGCCGGTGGAGGAGTCGGTGGGTGAGGGATCAGATAACGGCAATGCGGGTAAGAGGCCAGCTTGGAACAAGCCATCTAATGGGGCTGTCGAGGTTGGGCCTGTAATGGGAGCTGTGTCTTGGCCTGCCTTGTCCGAGTCGGCTCGGGCTTCCACCAAATCGTCTTCTGAATCTCTCAAAGGTGTATCAGAACCCTCGTTGTTGTCTGTCTCCGTTCCGCAGGTTTCTTTCTTGAATCGCTCTGCTATTGTTTGGTTGCTGGGAAAATTGGAAACTGAATAAAACTATAACACTTGGTTTTTCGCTGATATGCTAAGTTTTAGTTGAATTTTACTATAATAAAAAAATGCAGTATTAGCTCTCTCTATTCAAATGGTGGTTTGCTGATAAATTTTGAGATGCATAATCTTTTTAACTAAAACGAAAACTTTTGGGTAAATGGGTAATCAAAAGATTCTTATGCATTGAAATAGTGAAGGAAAATGTGGAATGAAGAGTTGGTTCTGGTTGTTTGAGACATTAAGAAATAAAATTTATTTATAGAAAATGATTCACCTTGTATTATTTGATGTTCAGTATGTTGGATTGTTTGCGTTCTATGTGCATATGTACATTTATATTACTTGCTGTGGTTGGCATAGGGAACTGGAATCACAACTATCTCATCACCGAAGCAAGGGAATCCTTCTACTCCAAACCATACTGGACCTACGCGCCAGAGATCGATGAAACGAAATAATGCAAATGCCTCCTTTAATGGTGGTGCTTCCCAGCATCAATCATCTGCTGGTCAAGGTGGCGAACTGCCTTCAAGTAACCCACCTCCGAAGGAGCATACCCATAGAAATGCATTTGGGTCGCAATCTCACAGCAAT